GCTCACCATCTCAGGGAGTAGGGAGCAGAGAGAAGAATTTGGAACTCAAAACTTTAAATAAAAAATGTTTGAAAATTAAAGAAAAAAAGAATGGGAAAAACCAGTAGATCGATAAAAAGAAGTTGAAGATTGGGGCTGGGGACTGAGTATGTGATGTGCTAGGGCAGAGAGAAAGGAATGGGATCAAGCACATGTGTAGAGAAGCATTGGTCTTTGAAAGGAGGATTATCTGTTAGAGACCCAGGAAAGGAGGAAAGAATAGGAAATGCTGAGACAAAAATGGAAGTGAGAGCTCTGTGCTCAGGTGCTCTTAAAGGTACATGATCTATAAATAAATAGATGGATAGATAGATAGATAGATAAATAAAAGAGATGTATATCCCCATTATGCTCATTGAGTGATTGGTACCAGTTGTTGTTTGTCCTTCGTTCTCCAAGAGGACCAATGACATCAGGAGGGTGATGTGTTGTCTTGCAAGTGAGCTGCATTTAAGTGAGGCAGGGCTGTGCAAAGTCATCAGCCTCACCCTCTCCTCCAGAGTCATCAGAATCCAGCGGCAAGATGGCTGTCAATGGCCCCCACAGAATGGAGTGGGGAAGACTTGAAGGAGGGAGACCAACCGGGATTACTATTATAGTAATGGTTTAGGCATGTGGTGATGAGGGCCCACACCAGAATGGTGGTAGTGTCAGAGCATATATAAGATATGTTAGGAAGGTAAATATGACAGAAATTGGGGTTGGTATCATAGAGTGGAAAGAACAGGAGTTTGGGAGACAGATGGCCTATGTTCTAATCTTGTCTCTGACCATTACTGTGTGAACTTGGGTAAGTTACTTAATCTCTCTGAGCCTCAGTTTCCTTTTCTGTAAAATGAAGGGTTTGGACTAGGTGGTCTCTAAGTCTTCTTCCAGTTCTCCATTTATGATCCTATGAACAGACACTAGTCAAGGTCAGAAGTTTTTCGTCCTACCACTAGATGGCAGGAAGTCATGGGTTAATGGGCTATTTACTGTAGGCACAGCAAGTGACGTGTCAGCATTAGTAGACAGCATATCCAGGACCTGCTGTAGAAGAATAACACACATCTATAGTGATAAAAAGTTCAAAAAGTGTTCTCACAAGGTAATTTGTCATTTTAAAGACGAGGAAAATGAAGCCCAAAGAGGTTAGGTAAGGAAAGGAAGGCAGATTTTCAGGAACCAAAGACTTACTCCTAATCAAATGTTGAAGAACACCAATGCTAAAGTGATACCCTGGGATGGATCATTGGGAAGAGTCAAGTTGTCGTGTTTAGTGGAACAACCAAAAATGCAGCTGATGTGGGTCAGCTGAGGGGGAGGGGTTAGTGCTAGACATAAAATCAAGAAGCCCCAAGTTTCAAATCCTTCCTCAGATATTTACTAGCTATTTAACCCTGGGCAAATCACTTAACCTTTTTCTTTTTTTATGTTATTTTAAAACATTTTAATTTAATATTTTATTTCTTCTCCAATTACATGTAAAAACAATTTTAACATTCATTTTTTAAACTTTCTGAGTTTCAAATTCTCTCCCACCCTCCCCACATTGAGAAGGCAAGCAATTTGATATAGGTTATACATGTACAGTCATGCAAAACACATTTCCATGATTTAACCTCTTTCTGCCTCAGTTTCCTAATCAGTAAAATGAAGGGGTAGGATTCAATGCATTCCAAGTCTTTTATAGCCCCAAAACTTACCTTCCTAGGAGATAAAGAAACAGAAATCAAATGCGGAAGCCTATCAGGTATGCACAAAGCTTCAGTGGAGCCAAGGAAAGAATATAAGTATATGCTGCCATATGGCTTTCCTTTAGAAAGGCAATATGGTACAGCAGATAAGGAACTGAATTTAAAGCCAGGAACTCTGGGATTTGAATCCCACCTTACATCCTTAATAGTTGTGTGTGACCTTGCGCAAGTCACTTAACCCATAGGAGTCAAAGTTTCTTCATCTATAAAATGGAAAAAATCAAAACACCTCCCTATATCAATGGGTAATGGTAAGGCTTAGTTGAGATAATACATGTCTAATGCCCCTCACACAGCAGCTTCCATTTTCTGGTGGACTGGTGGATGGAGAGAGAAAGTAGCATGACCCAGCAGTGAAGGATGGTTTTCAAGCTTGGAGGAGAATACGTGTAAGGACATATAATAGTGGTGAAGCTCCTGGCGTGAGCTAGATGCCAATTCCACACATCCTTCCTTGTGATGGCTTACGTGAGGTCAAGGGTTGCTATCAGAGCCAGGATGGGGAACTGCCAACCCTCCCGAGTCCCCATGTACACTGGGTCTTGAGTTTCAGGCTCCCAAGCAATGGAGGATCTTGACCCAGGGTTTTTGCATCCCCATGGGAAGTGTGAGCAAACCATGCCATAAGAGCCATGTTGTTGCACTCCTTTGTTGGCTCAACAGACTACTCAAGCTGTATGTATCCTAAGACTCTTGGGTTGAGACCAGGGGGTCTTAACCATTTTTATGTCATAGATGCCTTTGGCAATTTGGTGCCCTTCTCAGAATACTATTTTTAAATGCATAAAATAAAATACATAGGATTACAAAGGAAATCAATTATATAAAATAAAGACGTCACTCTCCCTCCATCCAAGTTCACAGATCCCCCTGAAATCTGTCCACAGATTTCTCAGGAGTCTGTGAGCCCCAGATTAAGGACTTCTGGTCTAAATCTGTTAACAGTATGTCTGGGAGACTTCCAGGATCTAAAAGAGAGGTGGTTGGTAGATATTTATTTTTTATTATGCATTGTCTCCTTGTTATTAAGTACTGCTTACTTAGTTAATGATTCTGTAAGAGCAAAAATACTGCATGCAGCATCTCAATTCATATGTCTGATATACCAATGGAGTCACATGACTGCTCCAAATCACTAATAATAAAAGTTCAAATCAAAACAACTATTTGATTCCAATTTAGACTCATCACGCTAGCAAAGATGATAAAAGACAAAAATGAAAAATGTTGGAGGGATATTGGAACATTAATACACTGTTGGTGGATCTGTGAATGGGTCCAAATATTATAGGAAGTGACTTGGAATTACTCTAAAAACGACTAAAGAGTTCTTAATTTTTGATCAAGATATCCCACAGCTAGACCTATACCCTAATATCTTCTTGAAATCAGGCTCTGTGTCGTCAAATTTGATTGTCTCCCACAGTCTGCCAGAGTCTCACACAGAGTAAGTGCTTAATAAATATTTGTTGAACTAAATTGAATCACGCATGGTAAGACAGTTCAAAGCTTAGTGGCCTATTTCTGGAAAATCCAGGACAGCACTCATAATTGCTAATCCCCTCTAGAAGACTAAGAAGGAATGAGCAACCAGTCTGGCAATGTCCTGGGAAGGCTTGCCTGTCCCCCTCCACCCTACCCCCGCCCCAGCTCTCAGGATGACTCTCTTCTTACTCTAATCAAGAATGGTCCAGACCTCAGATCATATCTAACAATGCCTCCCTCAAGCCTCATTTAGACAATGTAGAGGTACAAATCATAAATATCTTATATGGACACACACGCTCCTTACATGTACAGTAAGATGAAAATTCCAGAGCACAGTGGAATCTTGGTAGAGATGCACATCGTCTATGGCGTTAGGTTCAAAAGTCAGCATTAAAAAAAATGTAAGTCAAAATTATCCTTGCAAATTCCTTAAATAACCCATATAATGCAGTGTAGTACCTTAAAGTAGTCTCTTTAAAAGAAGGAAGTCCGTATCAGAGAGCAGCTGGAGCTAAGATGGTTGCTATGGAAACGATAAATGCAAATTCTATGTTTTCTCTATGTCTTGTCAAGCTGGGTTTTTTAAATTCGTTTGTTTGTTTGTTTGTTTTCTGGAGACAGGCAGGAACCTTTGTTACAGAAGAAAACAAAACAGGTAAATACTTCACTAGCAAAAGAATTGATGATTAGGAGGAAAATGCTTTTGAAAAGGCTTCACACAAAAGTGTGATTTTATATTTTCCTCTCTCATCTCTAGCTCTCTGAGTGGAGTGGTGAGCAATTTAATTGTTAGTTTTAATTTTTGCTGAACTTGTGCAGTCAAATTTGGCAATTTAAATGAAAGTATATGATTCTGTTGTATCAGTTATTAGAGATTTCTGGTTTATCTAATACCATATAAACTCAGTTTTACTTTATTTAGCATTGTGTAGGTTCTCCCTATTCCCCCACCACCCTTCAATTTTTTTTTACTGTGTTTCTCTTTCTAACTGATAATGGTGTGCTATTGCAGGGTTATATATGAGAATTTTATTCTAATGGGGCCCTAGAAATAGCTATGGCTTACATATTAATAAGGGCAACTAGGTGACACAGTGGATAGAGTGCTGCGCCTGGAGTCAGGAAAACTCATTTTTCTAAGTTCAAATATGGTTTCAGACACTTACTAGCTGTGTGACCCTGGACAAGTTACTTAACTCTGCTTGCCTCAGTTTCTTCTTCTGTAAAATGAACTGGAGAAGGAAATGGCAAACCACTCCAGTATCTTTGCCAACAAAACCCCAAGCGGGATCACGAAGAGTTGGGCACAACTGAACAACAACAACTATACTAATGGTCCACCGCATTTTTAATACCCCCTCCTCCCCCAAGACATTCTCACCATTGATAGATATTAGTCTTTTACTCTTGACCGCTTTGTTTAAACTTTATTTTCATGTACATTTTCAGATTATATAAAACATAGAAAATGGAATATTTTAAAGGCACATTAAGTAGAAAGAACCTAGCTAATCCTAAAATCACATTTGTTCTGACACTAATCATCTCTAATTCAGCCTCTATGCTCTCCCCCTCCCCAGCATTTCCCCATCACCATCACCCCCAATATACAAAATTTTACAACTTGTTCTTTTTAAGTAACCATTACTGTGAGTTAGTTTAGTGATCCCCATCCAGGCAGTTTTTAATTATTATACAGCTTAAATCTAGACTACTGTGTGTTTAGTGTAAGCGCATAAGCAAATAGGAACTTGGGTGTCAAAAATCTCTTCATTCAGCTAATTCTGGGAGTTATTATCCCATATCATGGGAGTTCTATCTGTCCATCAGGGTGTGTATGTACCTATGGGTAGCAGCAGTCCTGTAGCATGGAGGTATGTTGGTGTTTACAAGGCACCTTGATCTTTTCTTGATCTTTCTATTTGCTGAATACCTGTGTACATCTATCTCTTCTGGCCAATAATTTAGAAATTTACTAAGCTAATTTAAAAGGAGGGGCAAGGAAAACCCACAGTGACAATGCAAATTAACAAAATCAGCTGTTAGTCTCCATCTGGTCACCTCTAAAAAACAGAATTGCAGTACTTTCTAAAAAAAATTATACAATGCACAAACTATATTTTCTCAAACTGGATTTTTATCATAATAGAAGGGGTTTTTTTTGTTGTTTTCTTTTTTTAATTTGGTCCTAACATTCATTTTATATAGACAGCCTGGCTGTGACAATGTGTGTCTCTGGAGAAGCCTCTTAACCACCATGTGTTTCAACCAACTCTTTATTAATTTTCTACTAAGTCAAAGGCAGATTGTGACCTGCCTTGATGGAGGGAATCCTCATGCTGGGACAGCTGACAAAACACAGATCTTTCAGGGTTGACACTAGTTTTCACTCTGAGTTGGTAGAATAATTTGGTAACTAGTATCAAGTAACAACCACCAATCCTGCCCAGTGGGACTTCTTTTTCTCTCATTTTATTTTTCTTTATCTTTACATCACAGGTAAGTTAAATTCCTCACCTTTGATACTGTTGCCATTCTCTAACCCTCACAAATGTCAATCATTGCATTTTTGGAGAAAAAAAAGTTTGTTTCCTGTCTCAAGAAATTTGCCAACCTAGAAGGATGTGGGCGTCCATAGACTACTGCAACACTGTCAAATGCACCCAATACTTTTCAGATTATATTTAAGATGTTTAATACTCCACTAAAAAGACTATTCCAACTCCCTCACTATTATAGAGATGCCATCTATAGCCCTAAGAGAGAAAGCTTGGTGAATCCTTTAGCCTACTTTTCCTGCATGAATCCCTTCATAAGTCAACATGAGACCCATCCACAAGCAACATTCTTCAAACTACAAAAGCTGTGATTCTCTTGCTATTGGGCAGTTGATAAGTCTACTATGATTTTACACCCTGTTAGTTACCCTGTGATTCCCATGGGGTCTTCACTAGAGTAATTTAGGTGAAATAGGGCCCCACTGCTGTCCAAATCTGAGATGAATGGACAGCCAAGCTATTCTCTTCCCACCTCCTTCTGTGTTGGTCTGACTGTGTATAGATCACCATTACATTGAGTAAAATGGAAAATACAAAAAGCTACATTTAAATAACATCCATGGTGTAACAAGACAGACCAATGACTGAATGCAGTGAGGTTAGAGAAACACTTCCCCTCAAGTCCTGAGAGAGAAATGTACACACACAGAGGCACACATACATACATCCACACACACATATGTGTACAAGTAGACACGCATACACACCTTCTATTTAAAAAAAAAAAAAGAAGAGGAAATTGCCACACAGGTGAAGGCCTAGGCTCATTTGGGGATTTCCTGGTGTCTTTAAGTCACACCACAAACCTAACATTATTTATATATAAATATTAAAAACCCCAAAACAAAACAAACCCCCACCCCACTCCTGCCACTAACCTACTCATCTGTTATCAAGAACATTAAATCTTCAATGGAAGATTATGCAAAGTATTATATGTGTGTAACAGATACAGTACGAGGCTTACTAAATGCCATTGGAGTGAGTCAAAGGCAACTATATTTAGGCTCATCTAAATATGTGCAGTAGCATTTAAAGATATGCATACTCTCTAGATTTATCCACTGAGGAGACTGAAGGACAGCTGGTTGTATGTTATTCAGGGAATGATGTCCAGCTACTGGATTTGGGCAACCTGCTGCTTTCTTTCCCGTTATCTTCCACTGACGATATTTTAGCTGTTAAAGATGTTTGCCACAGGGCAGGCCAGGCAGGGATCCAAAGGGATATACCAATCTTCTCATTTTAGTTAGTTTCTTAATCAGCTGCCGGGGGGAGGGAAGAGTTGGGGGGTGGATGGGGGAAGAGACGAGATGGGAAGTGGAGGGAAGCTTTCAACCCTGGGCTGTATGGAGGTTTGGGCTCACACAGCACAGCTGGCCATTATGGAAGGCTTTGGAATTCCTTTCCAGGGAGTCAGGCGGGGAGGCATTTGCTCTTCTCATAGATTACCAGCAGAGGGAGCAATACCTCACGTGCTCCATCTCCACATCTTTTAAGAGGTTCATTCAACCACAACAACCTGGGCTTTATTTCCAATGGGAAGCCAGGGGTGGGGGAGATAAATGAACCCTGAAGGCTTCCAAAGGAAACGCTCCAAGCCAAAAACTGAGCAAGTTAAGAGAAAACAAACTCCTGCTGAGACGTTGAGATGCCATTTGGAGTTAGAACTGCCAAGGGTTGGAGGGTGACCAAGCTCTGGCCAACAGGACTTGCCAGGAGTTGCCCGCTGGCTCTCACCTGAGGGCCGTTCCACTCCCCCGCCCTCACTTGCTGAGGTGACTACGTTGTTGGTAACTTCTTGAAGCTGCTCTGCACAACTAGCAGGAAAATGAGAACATTCTCTCTAGGGTCTGCAGAAATCAAGGCTGATTTTTTTTCAAAGCAAGTGGTTTTCCCAGCAAGAGCCATTGCATTTTACTGTACGAATTCACAAGCCACCACAGGACCGACTTGAACCTTACGGTTAGCAGACACACACACACACACACACACACACACACAGAAAATAGACAAACCAACCAACACCGGCCTTTGCAAATTTCTACTATGACTATGAGGGCTAAAGGTGCCATCTGGCCTTCATTCTTTGGTGTTGTTTTTGTTGTTGTTGTTGTTGTTGCTTTCCCCCTACCCATCTGATTCCACTTTCCACCCCTATGGCCCGTACTGAGTCATATGAGGATAAGAACCTTGGAAGAGGAGAGGATAGCATTGACTCGTCATAGACACTGTGACGTGAGCCCTGCTGGATGAGGAAAGGAAAGGGGTTTGTTAGTATCTGGTTGCATCCAATCACAGGCACAGTCGGGTTAAGAAACATCATGTTGAGGAAATCAGATTGCTAGCTTTGTCTAGCTCAGCCTCTCGGTTGGCCGAGCATTCCAGAATACTGCCTGTTCCTTTTCATAGTCTTTCTATCAGATACCAAGGATGCAGAACCTGTTTTTTCCTTTTTTTTCTTTCGCTTTTCAAAGAAACAATACTTTTGCTACAAAACCAAAAAAAAAAAAAAGATTATATACAAATTGGTTATTGGAATTTGGGTTCTCTACTATAGTGAAGGAAAGTTAGCTCCGGGGGTTTTATTTACGCTTTCTCAGTATTAGGTACATTATGCCGCTGATCAGAGTAAAGGCAAATGCAACCCAGGCCAAGATGAAGGAATAGCCATATTTCCCTTCAAAAGTTCCTTGGTAATGAAGCCTGTTGATGTCATGGATTTCTTCATGCTGGTTTGTGTAAATGGATGCAGCAATCATGACACACAGGCCTGTGTGGGGGAAGAACAAAGAAAGAAATCAACTGCTGGAAAAGAAATTTATGTTCTACAACCAAATGAAGAACTCATCCCATTCCCCAGCCCTATTTGTGAATAGCTTTATTTTGATGATCTATGACCACTGGAGAAATTTCATGGGTGCATGTTTCCCTGGTTTATCAAGAGAAATTGGAGTGTTCTTAAGCAGACATAAACATATCTTCAATAGCTCCCTATTGCTTCTAGGACAAAATACAAGGCTCTTCAAAGTCTGAGTCTTCCCTCCCTCCCTCCCTTCCTCCCTTCTTTCCTTCCTTCTTTCTTTCCTTCCTCCCTCCTTTCCTCCCTTCCTCCCTCCCTCCCTTCCTTCCTTTCTTTCCTTTTTTACCTTCCTTCCTTCCTTTTTTCCTTCCTTCTTTCATCCCTTCCTTCTTTCATCCCTTCCTTCCTTCTTTCATCCCTTCCTTCCTTTTTTCCTTCCCTCCTTCTTTCCCTCTCTTTTCTCTTCCTTTTAAAACAGAAAAGGTACTTTTTTTTACATTGCTATCATTTACCAATGATTCCTTCCCATCCAATAGAATCTTCTCTTATGCAAAGATATACTTAAGCCAGCCATAGCTGACGATATATACCTCAGTCTGTAGTCCATAATCTTTCTACCAAGATGTGGGGCTCGTGCTTCTCTCTCCACTCCCTGAATACAGGCCATTCATGATTGGTGCTTGCACTGATCAGACTTCTGATGTCTTTCAAACCAATCTATCTTTCCCACCTTATTTCATTTAACTCTTCTCCACACATTCTTCATTTTGGCCAAAGTGGACTACCAGCTGTTCCCCATCTCTGAAATGGCATCTCTTACCTTTGAACATTCACAGAGACTGTCCCTTGGTCCTCACTCTCAATACCTTTAATATGCTCTCTCTTCCCCTTTGCCTTTCAAAATCCTTCTCTTCCTTCAGAACTGAGTTCAGATGCTACTTCTTACATTATGGACTTACCAGATCCTCCCAGCTCAAACTGTTCTCTCCCTCCTATTTCCCTAGACCATTTTTTTTAGCATTCTGATTCAAATCCATGATGCAAATGATGCTATAATCTTTCCTTTGTCCCCTAACACTCTTACTTTGTATCATTCATATCCTTCCATATGTCATATTCCCAATTAGAATTTAGGTTCTTGAGGGCAGGGGTTCTTCCTTTCATGATTTCTGTTTCCTCAGCACCTAGAATCACACGTCTCATTTATTCTTTTAAAAAAAAATCCAAACCTATAATTTCATTGGTATGAGGAGCTTCCAGTCATACAGATGGTATATGTCAGAGGCAGGGTTTGAACAAAGGCCTTTTTCACTCTAAGGCCAACCCTTTTCCCATTATACTATGTTGCCTCTCCCTTTGCACATATTGTAGCAGACAGTAAATTCTAGTTGGCTGTTTGTTGAATCTGAGGAACTAATCAAGAATCCATCCCTACAGGACTCCAAATAGGGCTCCCCACTTCTTTCTGATGCTGTTTTTTGCCATTAGTAGAGAAAAAGTCCATTAACCTCATTCTCAGAAGTGTGATAGAGTCATTTGGGCTATATAGAGAATATGACAAATGCGGACTTGACCACAGATTAGGTCCCTGGGAAGGTAAGAAAGTATGGTTTGGGTCACCAGGAACTATTTTTAAGTGATGGCTAGGGCATGTGGGACTAAGGAAATTAGTCTTACCCAAGGTGTTAGAATGGGTAGGCATGGCCAGGAGACCAGTTAATTCAGAATTCAAAAGTCCATTTGAGGGATCAAGTGACAGGGGTGACCACAGAAATGCTGAACTCTGGACAGAGAGAGAAGCCTCAAAAGGAGATTAAGAAGCTTTTCACAGAGGGAAGGTTTAATAAATGTCCAAAAAGAATGAGAGGGAAACATCACCAGAAGGGAACATAAAACTTCTTCATTCTATTTCATTTTGAGAAGATTCCTGAATCAGAAGATTGACTTTTGCTGAAGACAACCTCCTGATTTTAGACAGAAATGTGATCATTTTCTGCCTTGGAGCTAAAAGTTACTGCATGGTATAGGGACAGGATTGTTAACCATTTTTGTATCATGGACCCTTTTGTCAGTCTTAGAAATCTTCTCAGAATAATGTTAATTTAGAAATTAATAAATGAAGGAAATGTTAAATTTCAGTTAGAGGTTAGTGCAAACAAAGATGTGTTCAACATCAATAAAACAAAGATGTGAACAAAAACAAGTTCATCTGTCCCTTAAAATCTATCCATAAACCCTTTGGCGATCCATGAACCCCAGGGTATAAGGTCTATCCCAAGTATAGGGTCTAACTAGTTGTACTAATTAAATCAAGCTCCAGAAAATGGGCAGACCAGGTGGGAAATACATGCCCTTTGTGCCTCTATTGAAATCTTTCTCTTCCTTCAAGACCCAAGGCTTCTCCATGAAGTCTTCCTTGGTCTTTCAGCTAAACATTATCCCTCAGTTCTAGACCCCTTCTTTACTCTTATTACATTCTCCCTTGCATCATATTTATTCTGTGTACCCATCTTATTCCCTTTTTGTGACTATAAATCTACTTGAGGTCAGAGAATATGTTACTTTTCATCTGTGTATTCCTAATACCTAGCAAAATGTCCTTTACATAATAGTTAATAAAAATAGTTATTTTTTAAAAAGCGGGGGAAAAGTTCAATGAAAACATGGCAGAAGAAATTGCATTTTTGGAGGTTTACGCTATTCTGTGAGCCCCCCAAAACCATTGTTCATTGGAACCCATAGTACCCCTCTAGAGATCGATTTCACAGGTATGCGTAAATTTCAACCTCCCATCCTTTCTGTCATCTTTATGACTTGTAGAAAGTGGTTTGGCTGGAAACATTGACTATCTTTCCCTCTCGACCCATCATTCCACTTACATGACAGTAGCTGGATAATTGAAGTTAGAACAAATCTCTCTCCTTGCTTCAGGCGGAAGAGTTGGAGCACAAAGATGAAGAGGGCTATGCAGCAGAGGATGGTGGAGAGGATCATGGAGGCTTGAACAGCTTGTATCGTTGCATAACCTGGGAAGGAGACAAAGGCTACCTCACAACTCGCTCTCTTTCAGCTGGTTGTGGTCCTGCCCTTACAAGGCTTAAGTGCAAAATGAGGCTGTCCCTCAGGTTAAAGTGTAAATGTTCATGGAGAGAGTTAACACATCAAGACTTCATCAATTACCTAGGAACATATTTGCTCTGGATTTCTCACCAACCATCTCATTCTTGTTTTGTTTTTTGGGTTTTTTTTTTCTTTTTGGTGAGGCAATCAGGGTTAAGTGACTTGCCCAGAGTCACATAGCTAGTAAATATCAAATGTCTGAGGCGAGATTTGAACTCGTGATTCCAAGGCCTGCGCTTTATCCACTGCACCACCTAACTGCCCCAATCTAATTCGTTTTTGCTACACCCTCTCCATTCTTTCAGCCTTCGTTCATACAGAATCACATTATATTAGAACTGGAAGTGACTTTAAAGATCTTCTTATCTACTCTTTTTGTGCATCATAGATCTAGGAGTTCACTAGTTAAGTGTTTAACAACCAGTTCTCTTCGGAGAAAGATGTACCTCAGGATACACTTTTAAGTTTAATCTGCACTACTGACATTTTCTCCATCACTAAGTCTACCGGGGTGGGGAACCTGCAGCCTCGAGGCCACATGTGGCCTTGGGTATGGCCTTCTGACAGAGTCTAAGCTTTATAGAACAAATCCTTTTACTAAGGGGATTTGTTCTGTGAAGTTTGGATTCAGTCAAAGGGCTGCACTTGAGGACTGTCAATTGACTGTCTATCAACAAAGCAATGATTTGTAGTGTTTGCCATTTTCAAGGTGTAAATGCTCACACTGAAAATTTAACAATCAGCTCACAAGGTATTTCTTTCAGGTTCCAGCATGCTGATGCATGGACCCCTTTGTAGTCTGGAGTAGCACATAGCCCCTTCTCAGAATGTTTTTAAATGCATAAAATGAAATTCATCTGATTACAAAGGAAACCAGATATAGTGAAATATACTTAAACGAAAAATATTTTTAAAAGTTCATGGACCTCAGGTTAAAAGCCTCAATATAATCATAATAACAATAATAATAATAGCTAGCATTTATATAGTGCTTTAAGTTTTATAAAGCACTTTACATATTTTATCTCTTCCATTTGATCCTTAACAACCCTGCGAAGTAGGTGCTATTATTATCCCCATTTTCAGATATGGAAATTGAGGTTGAAAAAGCTGGTGACTCACCCTGGGCCACATAGATGGCTTCATAGAGCAGGTAGCATCTTGAGGAAAGGGAGGAATTTTAACAGGTAGAGATAGAATAATACACGAGGGGGGCTATTGAGGGAGGGAAGAGTATTTCAGAAATAGGGGGAAAGCATGGCATTGTTTAAAAAGAGTACTACTGGCCTTTGAGTGAGATAACCTGGGTTCAAGTTTCAACTCTACCTAGGTGACAAACAAACATTTATTAAGTGCCTGTTGTTCTCAAACCTTGGGCAAGTTACTCTATTTTTCTGAGCATTATCTGTGAAATGAAGGAATTGGATTAGGCCAGACTACTTAGACAGGGACAGCTAGGTGGCATAGTAAGTGGAGCTCTGGACATGGAATGAGGAAGACCCAATTCTTCTAATATGGTTCTGTCATCAGACATTGTTTTGAAATTGATGGGTCAAGAAAGACTAAGGTTTCTCATTTGGATTAGGCCAAGGACTTCAGACTAATGTACGAATCTAATATTGTTCTGAAACATGTAAAGAGGAAAGGGGGAGGAATTCGAAATTTTGAAAAGAATGGAATTTGAAATTTTGGAAAGAGTGGAAAAGAGTGCACATAGGACTAGGCTATGAACCCAGATAAAGCTGCAGAAAGTGCTGGCGTGATGCTGATGCCCTATGCCAAGTGGTGACCATTCAGTCTTTCTGAAGAAGTTGGGAGCAAGGAGAATTATGGCTACCATTAGGGCTGGTCTACATGAAAGGCCATTGAGTTCAATATTTTAGGACCTTAAGGTGCTTCCTTCTGCCACCTGAAGCACTTCCCCTAGCCAGCTTCCTGCTCCCGCAGATTTTTGTACAGATGCTTTCTGTCCACAAATAGAAATCAGATTTAAAATGTAAATACCCTTGGAAGAGGAAATATTCATACTAAGGGGTAAATGGCTGATATGTCCCTCCTTTCTCACAGCAGTTTTTAGTAATGTGTCTGAGGGCACAGACCTCCCTAAGGGATGAGCTGGGGGAGGGGACATGACAGAGGTTAAAAAAGGCTCCAAAAGGGAGGGAGTGTGGTACCCTGTAAAGAAAACTGGTTCTCAGGTCACAGGACTTGGGCCGAAGTTGTGCCTCTGATGCTTGCTATTTGGGTGGCCTTAGACAAGACACCTAACCTCTCTGGGCCTCAGTTTGCTTATATGTAAAATGGGAGAGTCACATGAGATGGCTTGTAAGGTCTTTTTCAGCTCTAGCTCTGTGAATTTTGCTGAAGTACCTTCAGGTGTCTTTGAGAACTTCTCCTTTATTATGTCACCTTTGGTCTCACCTTCAGCCTATTCCATTCTGCTCCAGTGTGAGTTTCCGAAGGTAGTCTAGCCTAGTGACTGGTATGTCAGAGATGAAGGGGCAGGCCAAGTAACAGAAAATAAAACACAATAGCTCTTTTCAACCTAGACCACCCTACACACAATTTGTTTAATTAGGTACTTACAGAGGGGGCAGCTAGGTGGCAATTACCAGAGTACCAGGCCCAAAGTCAGGAAGACTCATCTTTGTGAGTTCAAAGCTGGCCTCAGATACTTAATAGCTGTATGACCCTGGTCAAGTCACTTAACTCTTTGCCTCAGTTTCCTCATCTGTAAAATGAGCTGGAGAAGGAAATGGCAAACCACTCCAGTATCTTTGCCAAGAAAACCCCAAATGGGATCACAACTGAAAAACAACTGAACAACAAAAACTTAGAGGCAACATGGAAGAGCATATAGAGTGTTGGGCTTGGAATCAGGAAAACCTGGATTCAAGTCCTGCTTCTGAAACTAGCTGTGCTAGTCATCAGGCAAGTCACTCAATGTTCCTAAGCCCCAGTTTATTCATCTGTAAAACTGGATAAATTATTTGCAGTACCTATCCACCACTGATCTGTCATACTACCTACATGACCATGGACAGATCAATCAGCAAGCATGTATTAAACTCGGACCATATGCCAAGCACTGTGCTAGCAATATCAATACAATGTATGAAGCAATCCCTACCTGCAAAAGAGCCAGCCTTCTAATAGAGGAGACAATGGGGACATATATGCATGTACAGAGTAAGTATAAAAGAATAAATACAAATAGCTAAACACAAGGTAATTGCGGGGAGATTCAGGAAAGGTTCTATATATCTGGATGATGGTGCTTGAGCTGTGTTTTAAATAAAGAAGAAAGATTCTCTGAAGTGGGAGAAGTGAGAAGAGAGTGCATTCCAGGCTTAGGGGCTGGCCAATGCCAAGGCACAGAGACAGGAGTTAGATTAACCTCAATGAACCTCAGTTTCTTCATCTTCTAAATGGGTATACTGATACCTGCAGCTTACATGAGATAAAATATGTAAAGGGGTTTACAAACTTTCAAATACTATTCAATACCAGTTATTATAATTACAAGAAACAGCATAATACTCACCACTAAAGGTGTCATCAATTTCTGTGCAATTAGTGTTGTTTTGACATATTCTCCAGATGTCTGTGTAAAATTCCTCTCCTACCCACCAGGCCTGTAACACACCACAGAAATATAGAAAAGGTTCATGCAGTAAAAGGCATCCTGTGTGATGACGTCATGGGGCTGCCCACACATCGCCATCCTAATTCAAGTCAAAGGCCTTTGTCCTTTGCTGGTGCTGTTCCCCACCTCCTCCGTGAATGTTAATTGGTCATGTTGTTCATGGGTTTCTCTTTTCCTGAACAACTACTATCCCAGCTCCCAAAGATGGGACTTGGGAGCCCCAGTGTATCGTTCTAAGATCAGAAGGGGATAGTCCAGATAAGAACTCAGTAACATTAAGCCTTTCACAGTTCCTGGGGCCTTGGGGCACCACCCCTAGCAGTCTGAATAGCTAATTCTGTCAGGATAAAATCCTTGCCTACAGGCCCATGCTTAGAAGAGCTCTCCCTAGTACTTCTGGGAGTCAAGAGAAAGAGGCTTGAGACGTGGAAATTCCTGATATTATAGAGGCTCAGAAAGGTTAAATAACTTGCCCAAGGTCACATAGTAAGTGACAGAAGCAAGACTTGAACTTGTCATAATTTTTATTTCAAGTGACAGTCTTTCTACCCCTAGCACACTGTCTATGCCTAGGTGAAGGAAGGACAGTTGTCTGACTAGTATAGTTTGAAGCTTCTGAAAGATCTATTATCTCTCAGAGCCTCAGTTTCCTCATCTGCAAAATGGAGGCAGTGATACTAGCTGCTCTACTACTTAATGGGCAGCTAGGTGGCACAGTAGATAGAGTGCTAGGCCCGGAGTCAGGAAGACTTATCTTTGTGAGTTCAAATCGTGAGTTACTAGCTGTGTGACCCTAAGCAAGTCACAACCCTATTTGCCTCAGTTTACTCAAATGTAAAATGAGCTGGAGAAGGTAATGGCAAAGCCCTCCAGTTGCCAAAAAAACTCCAAACAGAGAATCAGACACAACTGAACAACAAAATCATAATTCCACCTAACAAGTTTCTTTTGAGGAAGGTGCTATGCAGTCACATATAAATGCGAGCTGTTGTTGCCCCCAGACTTGGAATTTCTGGAGGCCTAAAAGTTTTCACCACTATGGCATACATGTAAATGTAAATTCATTTCACAGGGTAGTTAGGGTCCTGTCCAAAGGGTTGGGAAACAGGATGAGGATGCAGACTGGCTGGATGAGGTCTTCTTTTGCCCGGGGAAATGGAAACAAGAAGTCTGAGACAGTTAGAATGATTTATTGTTGTTATTTGTCCTTCATTTTCAAAGGAGGACCAATGATAACACAGCATGATGTCCTGACTCGTGTGTGAATTAGATTTAGGTGAGGCAGAGTTGCACAGATTTGTCAGCCTCCCTCTCCCAGAGTCATCAAAGTCCAGTGGCAAGACAGAAGTCGGGAGGATGGCCTCGGATGCAGTGGATAACCTTGGAGACTTTGATACCTGACCAAGCTCTAAGTATTCCGAAGCACCTGCCTTCGTGACTACTGAAACAAATTGTTCTCATCCACTCATTCCACTAGGAGAAATCTTTACATGCTTGGGGTAGACACCCCAGGAACTCAGTGATGGTGTCGTGATCTGTCAGTTGCCCTCAACCCAGTTTAGCCCATCTGCCAGGACCGTTTACTGGTGTGTGACTGTTGTGCATGCGACAGCTTCTTGGAGCCACAGGTGAGAGTTGGTGGCCTGGTGAAAACCAAAGGTAGCTGAGCAGTCCTGAAAAGGATTTGGCAGCCCTCAAACCAGAGGTGCTACCTCTTTGAACACCCATACACCCCTTGTTACTATCCATAAAGGCAGTTCCTGACTCCAAAGAAATTCTATCAACCCTTATGTTTAGTTTTACCAGCTTACCCCAAGATTGGTACACTCATAAAAGCCTCTAGCTTCCTTCATCTATCTCAGTATGCCATACCACAGTCTCCTAACATCTGTGGGCCATCCAAAACCAGTCAACCGCTTGAATGAGCTGATTTCCTGGGATTCATCTACTACTTTTGTGTCTCTGGTTTTCTTTGCACCAGGCCGAGGTAGGAGTGCCAGGAAGATGAAAAGCACACACATTTTGTAAGAATGTGTATATTAGTGCATTGCATAGTATTGTCAGGCAGCTAGGTGGTGCAGTGGATGGAGTATGGGGCCTGGAGTCAGAACTTTTCCAGAGTTTGAATCTGGCCTCGGACACTTACTGGCTGTGTGACCATAGGCAAGTCACTTAACTCTCTTTGCCTCAGTTTTCCCATCTTCAAAATGAGCTAGAGAAGGAAAATGGCAAAGTACTCCAGTATCTTTGCCAAGAAAATCCCAAATGGGGTCACAACTGGAAACAATTCAATAACAACACTATTGTCCAATATAAACCACTTGAATTCCCTGAATGTGACTAGCTAAGTTGGGCAGGTTTTCATTTGGACCAAGACAGCAGGAAAAATTTATGAATGAGCCATTTCTGGGAAAGATGGGCTGAGACAGAGTGCCCCAGGGAAAGGCTTTGGCTAAAAGGAGGCAACATGAGGACACTGGGGTGCCTCTGCAGCAAAGAGGTGGATTCCTGAAACAAATTATTGTCACTTTGTCCTTCTGCCCAAGACTTTCCCCAAGACTTGTCATACTTATCTTGTAACTAGGAAGGGTAAGTAAATGGACACCTACATAAGAAGGGATTTCTTACTTAGTGGGAGGTTGCTAAGATCCTTTCTGAGTCTAAATTCTATGAGTCTGTAATTCTGGTGGTCTATGAGTGGAGTTGTGAGGTTAGAGCATGGGGGAAAGGAACTTACATTGTCAATGGTGGCGATGAACAGCAGTGCTGCTGAGGTGATATGAAACACGATGATGAAAGCCAGAAGCACCAACATTCTCACAGTGGGGGTGGGGAAGGAGAGCCCCTTCAAAATCAAGGCAAAGCTGTTCAAACAAAGCAAACAAATCCAAGTCCATAAATACACTCTTTTTATATATTTATTTATAAGATTCTGTCACACACTTCTTGCCTCTCCACAGAGAAGCAGGAACTAGAATCCTATAAATGCTGTTAGATGCCGTCATTTTTTTTTTTTTGGCAAGGCAATTGGGGTTAAGTGACTTGCCCAGGGTCACACAGCTAGTAAGTGTCAAGTATCTGGTCTGAGACCGGATTTGAACTCAGGTCCTCCTGACTCCAGGGCGGGTGCTCTATCGACTGTGCCACCTAGCTGCCCCAATGACATCATTTTAATCAGTTTTGTGTAATTGTTTTTATTTATTACAAAGGCCAGCTCAGTATGATACAGAATGTGTTCATCAGGAGACAATTCTAGTATAAAAACAAAGGCATTGAAGAAAACTTCTAAAAACTTAGAATACAGAAACTCTTTCAGTGGGATTGTGAGCAACCCTTTTGTATCTTGTATTTCTTAATATTTTGTATTTAAATATTTTATATTTCCTAAACTAGAAATTCCACAGGGCAGGTTCCCCACAATAAAGATGCTTATAATTAAGCCCATCTCCCAATTGTTCCTCATGGACGACAAGACCACTTAAATATTAAGACTTAGAATTGTTGTTCGTCCTTTGTTCTCGAAGAGGACCAATGACATCAGGAGGGTGATGTCTGGACTTGCAAGTGAATTAGATTTTAGTGAGGCAGAGCTGTGCAGAGTCATCAGCCCCACTCACTCCTCCAGGGTCATCAGCATTCAGTAGCAAGACATACGTCAGGACAATTGGCGATGGCCTCGGATGCAATGGGGGACCTTGGCCTTTTTAAGCTAAGGTCTTTCCCAGGTCTCAGTTTGTCTGAGACAATGCCCATTCAGTAGTTAAAGGTTAGGTAAGAATTCTTAGACTTAGAAATGTGTCACCTCACTCCAGATTTACAAGCACCACAAAAACAGGCCACCATCCAAAGAGAGATAAAGCTGCTGCTGGTGTACCTCCTTAATGTCCATCTGGCGGGCATATGCCTTGGTTTACTTTTCTAGGCCTAGGGATATAGTCTGTATCTATCCACTCATGCTCTCGCACTCAATTCCCCTTGTGGCCTGTGACACATCTCCATGTGATAGAAGTCCACAGTTAAGGATACTGTCCTTGTTCAGGAAATAAAACAAGTCTACCCACTCCACCCCACCCAAAGGTGCTCTGTATATTAACCATCAGTTGGCTAACTACCAAGAATCAGTGTAGGAAAATCCTCCATTGGATATGACCTGACCTACTGTGCATTCCTCCTCTGTGGGAGACAGCGGTTTGGCTAATAGACACTCATCTTTCAAAATTATAAAGAAAAAGTGTTAGAACAAGCTACCATGCAAAACATCCAATGAGATGTAGGGCTAGCCCTGATGAAAGAGGCTCTTGGGTCAGCTGCCATCATGTTGAATGCCAAATTCCTAAATGAGGAATTTGGTAAGGCAAACTGCCAGCTTGAGAGGCCAGGGTAACTTGAGCACCCCACACAAAGGAAAATCCTAGTCTATGTGGCGATGAAAATGATTTTTCAAGGAAAGAGCTCTCTTCTCCTCCTTTCAAGTTGTTAAATATGGAAATGAAAAAGTCACCATCCCTCCATGAGACTGAATGCATGTGGGTATCAAACCTAAACAGTTAGAGATAACAGTAGATAAAATCCCATCAATAATGTACCTGACAGAGTGCCAAGTGTCAGAAGATATGATTGAATTTTCATTTGTCTGTCATTGTGTTACATTTCTGGCAGTCTGCCTGGCAAGGCGTGAATACCAACAGAGAAGGGAAACTGAAGGCATGAAAATCAGTCAAGTGACTAACTCCACTCCACATACTGCTGCTAGGTTCAGGAGTATGAGCATCCTCTTCATCCTATTATTCCTTGATCAAAAATCTTCAGTAGCTCTCTCATTGATTACAGGAAATTGATGTGAAATTTCCTAGCGTAGCACTCAAAGCCCCTCACCATATGACCTCACCGGGTCTTTTACCTCCTGATTCACCCTTAGAGGCACGGTAGGTAAGAGTTCTGGGCCTAAAGATGGGGAGACCTGAGACACTTACTAGCCATGTCACCCTAGGTAAGTCATTTAACCTGTCTGCCTCAGTTTCCTCAACTGTAAAGTGAAGATAATAATAGCATCTACCTCTTAGGGTTGTGAGGATCAAATGAGATCCAGTGCTTAGCACAGTGACTGGCACATAGTAGGTGCTTAATAAACATTTATATCCTTCCCTTCCCTCCCCCTACACAAACCTTCTACTCCAGCTTCTACTCATTGTGACTGCACTCTAACATTTACCATCACTTTAAGATCAGGGTTCTCAACCTTTTCTCATCGACTTTTTTCCTGAATTTTCAATAGACCTTCCATGACTCCTATTCACCATGAAAGGAAATAAATTCTAGAGTTTGCCATATATACGCACATAAGAAATAAAATACAAAATTAATTTTCTGTAAAGAAAATTTTATTTGGTACATATTTTTAGTATCATGAATGAATAAAATTGTTAAATGTTTAATTTGTGCCAAACACCATGCTAAGTCCGGGGACACACATAGAGAAAAATAGACAGTCTTTGCTCCATCATAAAGTTGTTCTCTCCCCAATCCTCAACTTTTTTCACTGATACTATTGCTTTTATGCTAATTCAGTAGGATAAGGTAGTTATATACAAAAACTCCCTATGTCCCCTTGAAAAACTTCTCATAACCTTGAGAGCACAAGTCCCCCATGTTGGGAACCCAGGCTATAAAGTTTGGGTTTGAGTTTCTAAGCCCTATTGAGGTTATTTCCTCCTAGGAACTATGCCTGCATTTGGGGTGGTCGTCACCAGGTGGTGTCTTGAGACATGTTACCCTAGAGCAACCACTTAAACTAGCTCTAGGTGTACCGATTATGAAGAAAAAGAACAGTCATGTATCTAGTAAATGACTGCATTTCTAAGGTGTAAAACTATAGTCCTGTCAAAACACATCATAATTTAATATAGATTATGAAACAATTTTCAGATAAATTCAAAAATGTTGATGCAAACAAGGACATTTGCAAGGCTCCTTGAATGACTCCAAACTTCTCCCTGAAACAAAAGCCCAACTTTTTAATACCTATATTCAACCAGTGTTGTTGAATGGCTCCAAATAATTAAAAATGAGTATCACTCAGAGGGCAGTAAAGAGGTGCATGGCTGGATGCAAATGCAAGAGACAAGGAATTATGAAAGAGAAACAGCGTAAAAGATGCCATTCAGGAAATGTGTGATCAAAAAAGAAGATGGGCTAGTCACGTAGCAAGGGATTACCAATGGACATTTCATTGAGCTCCATTAGTATCCACACAAAGCTGGAAGAAATACAATGAAAGCTTCTTAAGAGTAAGAGTTCTTCTTCCTCCCTTCCTTTCTTTTTTTTTTTTTTTGTATTTGTAACCTCAGCATCTAACACAAAGTAGTTATTTCTTTAATTTTTTTTTTTTTGGCAAGGCAATTGGGGTTAAGTGACTTGCCCAGAGTCACACAGCTGGTAAGTGTTATGGGTCTGAGGCCGGTTTTGAACTCAGGTCCTCCTGACTCCAGGACTGGTGCTTTATCCACTGTACCACCTAGCTGCCCCTTAACCTAGGTTTTACTATGATTTTATTTTTGGGGGGGGGCTAGGCAATGGGGTTAAATGACTTGCCCAGAGTCACACAGCTGGTAAGTGTCAAGTGTCTGAGGCCAGATTTGAACTCAAGTCCTCCTGACTCCAGGGCCAGTGCTCAATCTACTGCGCCACCTAACTGCCCCTACAAAGTAGGTATTTCATAAATGCCTGTTGGTCGACTATTGTTTGAAATCCCCCAACTTATTGGGTTGACCCTCTGCAGCAAATTTATGGAAGAATAGAGACAAGAGTCACATAGTATGGTCAGCTATGGAAGGGTTGTGATCAGCATTCAAATGAATGAGTTCACGGGCCATGTGTATATTTGTATATTCTGAGTACAGATACCTAAGTTAACTTGTCAGTTAAACACATTTTCCTGCTAAGCTCTAAATGTTTTAAATTACTATTTAATGCTGATTCCTTGAAAACCAAGTAGAACTCATCCTGAATCTTTCCTTAAAACCAAGAACCTTCCAAGGTATTTATATTGCTTATAGTAGTCCCTGTACTACCTTAGATTTTGGTCTGGTTGGGCATCAAATCTTTTAATTATTTTCTTTAATTACCTTAACTAGAACCTTATCTGTGCCTGTGTCTCCCTCCCAGAGGGACCTGAACTCCCTGCACCTTCTTTTTTAATGGGGGAGAATTAAAAGAGGAAGATCTCCCTTCTGGCTTGATGGAGATTCATAGAATTATAGAATTGTTGTTGTTTTTGTTGCTCCTTCATTTTCAAAGAGGACCAGTGACATCACAGGGTGATGTCTTGACTTGTGCGTGCATTAGAGTTAAGTGAGGCAGACCTGAGCAGAGTTGTCAGCCTCACTCTCTGGAATGTGAATGTTGGAAAGGCTCCTAAGGCTCATCTAAAGCCAAACCCCTCTTTTGACAAATGAAGAAATCAAGGCCCAGAGAGATGAATTAACTTGCTCAAGGGTACACAGTTCATGAGTGGCAAAACCAGGACTAGAACCCAGATCTTTTGACTCAGCCCAATCATCTTTCCATTATGCCATGCCTTGGTTTCCTTCTGTGCCAGGACCCTAAATACTCTCTGTTATTTGTGGCCAACAGAGAAGAGGAGGGAAAAAATCATGGGATTACATATTGCATTTTTATATATACCGCATTACTGTCTTTTTTCCAGTCAGGAGAGAATTTTCTAATTATTCACTCCTCTTCCTGTAAAACTCACCCTTTGTAGGCCAGTTATTTTGAACAGAATGACTAAAAACTAGTCTTTCATCAGTTTAGTATTAGCTTCCAAGCTTCTTCAGAAAACATGCTAATTCCTTTTTCAAATAAA